TCTCTATCTATCTATCTATCTATCTATCTATCTATCTATCTATCTATCTATCTCTCCCTCTCTCTCTCCTCTTTGCAGGTGACCCTGGAGGTCCTGTCCCACGTGACCCACCTGGACCTGAGCTACAACACCCTGGAGTGGGTGAGCCCGCGAGTGCGCACCGTGTTCCCCGCGCTGCAGTCGATGACGCTGGACGGGAACCCGCTGCGCTGCTCGCGGCGTCTGCGCTGGCTGGGCGACTGGATGCGCACGGAGGAGCGCGTCAACTTCTTCAACTACGAGGAGCCCGTGTGCGAGACGCCGGGCCGGTTGCGCGGGCGGCCGCTGCGGAGCCTGGACGCGAACGAGTGGGCGGAGGAGAACGAGCCGGACGGCGGCGGAATGGGCGGGGACTACGAGGTCGCCGCGCGGGGATTGGGCGAGCTGCAGGCCGACGCGGCGCCGCGCGAAGAAGGGGCGGGGCCGCCGCCAGCTGCGGTTACGATTGGCCGCGGAGGAGGAGCAGAAGGAAGCGTATCGGTGAGGGGCGGAGCTAAGGAGAAGGAGGTTGTTTCGCCGAAACGGGGCAGGGGTGGAAAGGAAAAGAGGAGAGGGAAAGCCGCGAAACGAGGAGGGAGGAGGAGAAAGGGGAAAGGCGAAGGGAGAAAAGGGAAGAAATCCGGGGATAAAAAGAAGGGGAAGAAAGCGGATAGGAAGAAGAATAGGGACCGAAAGCGTAAGAACAAGAAGGGGAAAGGAAGGAGGAGAAAGAGAGAAGCCACGGAAGTGTTTGTGAACGACGAGGGAACCCCGTTGGGCGCAGAGGAGGTGGAAGTGCAAGGTTAAACACATCACAGAAAAATCTCCAAATCGATTGTACATCGTAAATCATTTACATTTTCCTGGAGACTCGTCTCACGGTGGTAAAACGCATAATGATTCAATCGTTTCAAAGGTCAAGTAAATGACTATTTTTTTTTTACATATTTTGTTTTCACGCGTATCATAAAAAGGTTACAGCTTAAAGAAAAAAAGGTGTTGTTTGTTTGTTCATTGTTCTGGGGGGGGGTTGTTTGTTATTTTTTTGTGTTTTTTAGGGGGGGGGTCAGTTCCAAACAAACGCTACACACGAGGGTTCGGCTGTTTTTTATTAGATCTAACCACGAAAAACAAGGTATTTCATATTTCATGCTTTTTTTTAAAGTTTAGTTTGAG